AAAGAATAGCAGGAAAGTGACAAGAGCGGGCTGCCGGGAGGAGGTAACGTGGGAGTAAAGAATGAAAGTAAACTAAAGCTGGACACATGAAGAACAAGAAAGGAATTGGCAAGGACACGAGGTGATGCCGCCAAATGCCCTGCATTCACAGCACAGAGATATGCCATTAGGTGAGAATCACCTTTCCCTCTTCCGCATTTCACTGAAACAGGAAGGAATTGGTCAGGCCCAGGAATGGCATCTCGATGAAGCTCTGCTTTCTCAGAGGCCTGGGGAGGGTGGCAACTCAGCTAGAGCCGGAATGTACTCACTGGCCTTTTTATCCAATTATTGGGTTTCTATGTTTATGAATTAAAATGCTTCCAGTAAACCAGGAAGAAAGGTCTTTTGGAGGTAGTAGAAATTACTTACTTAGTTGTTAATCGTACGTAGGCTTTGGCACCAGGAAAACTGATTTCAAATCTTTGCAACTTACATATTTATAGTAAGATATTTAAACTTTAAGTTTTAGTTCCTACATTTGAAAAAATTGGAAATACATATATATCATAGAGCTGTTGTGAGAAGATTAAATCACATATGTAAATTGTGAAACGTGGTATCAGAGAAAGGATTATTAGTGAAATTTTTATGCAGTGAAGATTATTATTTTTGTTATGTTCTCTAGCCACCCATTCTCATTTTACATCAATGCTTTCTTTCTGGTTCCAGCTTTGACCTGCTTTCCCAGAATACTACATACATATATATCCCTGCTTCAAAACCTCATTCTCCTCTGTTCTTTAAAGTTATACCTAAAATTATCTGGGTGTGGAGGGGCATACCTATTATCCCAGCACTGTAGGAGGCTGAGGCAGGAGAACTGCAAATTTGAGCCTAGCCAAAGCATTTTAGTAAATTGGTGAGGCCTTGTTGTAAAATAAAAAAAATTTAAATGTCTGGGAATGTAACTCATTGCAAAGGCCCTATGTTCAATCCCTGTTTACATGCCAAAAAAACAAAAAACAAAAAGAGAGTTATTCTATATATAAATACAATAACAACAATGTACAAAAATTTAAAGCCATAAAATAATGTGCGACAGTTTTTGACCTTGAATTTTTTACCTTTTCAAGATCTTTTATATATGTAAATGTAATAAGTAAAGGGGCTGAACACAAAAGTCTTTACATTCTTCTGTCATATCTGAAAAAAAGCAACTTAAAGTATTTTGAATGAATAACCTGCATATGATATTTGATCCTGAATTCTGAAGGTGTTTTTTATTTTTATAACATTGACCCTGTGACTCTGTGGGCTATATGAACAGGGAAAGGGTCCTGTATTGTTAGTACTTTATACCCTTCTCATAGGAGTTTAACTAACTTGCCAAAACTCACTGGGTAGTTTCAGGTGAAGGATCTTGAATTCTTGATGAGAAGATTTTGAATTCTTGATCTCAAATCTGCCAAGATCTCCATTTGTTATGAAAAAGTCAGCCTATAGAAGAGAGCCCAAGTATTAATATTATATTATTATACTGCTTCTCATCACACAGTTAAAATGTTTTCTGCATTTATATTCGCCCTGTAGTTACCCATACAACATAGGGAGAAAGTAGTGTAAATTCCCTGATTAACAACCAAAGCACTCCTTGTCACCAGAACTATCATATGTTAGATCCTGTGTCAGTATCTGCAGCCAGGCCTTAGCTTCTAAGAATCTACTTGTTACAAGTGAGTTTATGTGCCTTGAAGCATATGGCCTTGATATATGATCCCAGAGCAAAAGAGCAAGGTATTTCAAACTGGCCACAATTTTATTGACTCTCACAGACTTGCTTTGTAGTCATTCCAATAAACTAGATGAGAAATTTCTGATGCTCCAAGCTATCCAGTCCTCAGGACTCCATTTCATGATTCAGAATCCAACAAAACAACTCAAGAGTGCTTTTGTATGACACTGTGACCACAGGGATAAATAATTGCTTAGTAATTCTCTTTGAGGCAGAAAATTCTAAACATGGAGGAACCATTTCCCCTTAATGGGAGCCAGAAATCCTGTGAGTGCTTGAAATGGCATTCACAAGTCTGAATGGTAAACAGATAAAAACAGGAGCGTACCAGTTGCACAAATGACTTGCTTGTCACAAACTTGTCATTGCAGTAATCTAACATTTCTTTCACAGAGCCCGATGGAAAGTATGGAACAAACAAGCCCTGCTGACGTTTTGGCTCTGTTAAGCCTTCCTTCAAGCTAAAGCATCTGCAGCATCTTCCTGCTCTAGACCCTTTATCTGCTGAAGTTAGCTGATACTGTACATGTCAAAGAAATGTTTGACTATTGCATTAACAAGTTGATGACAAGCAAGTTATTCCTGCAGTTGAAATACTGCTGCTTTTAGTCAGCTGCTATTTTGACCTTCATTTTATTGTGAAAAACCCTAGCAGAGCACTGGGAAGGTACCAGAATAGTTTCTGTAGATTCACAAAGGCCACCTGTCTAGGACATAGGTGCTGTGGTGGTGGAGGGGCATACCTGGCAGTTTCATCAGATTGTTGATGGAATTTCCTACTAAAACATAAATGTTCCGAATACATTGAATGGTCCCCAGGATTGCTCTTGCAGGGGTAAAAAGACCTGCACAGAAATCAGTTTTCATCCACACTGTTTCTACTCACCTCCCTACATGCACGTACATATTAACTCTGAGTGCTTTATTGAATGTTGTAACTAGGAAATTTAACTGAAAATTGTGTACAGCAACTGCTCACATAATTTTGCCAGTGCTTCCTGTCGGTAGCCTCCCCTAACCTCCTTCTCATTCAGCATAATATCTAAAGCTATCTAAACTTCATCCAAGCCTTGCTGTTGTCTCCTAAAGAGCACTGTATCTCCCTTAAGCCTCCTCCTTCCAGAAAACTCAGGCAGCCCTCCAGAAGATATCATCAGCTCATCTCCAACTCGAGCTACCAGCAGGGAGTGCTCGTACTCTGTGCAACTGCTAACTCTTGTCTGTCTGAAGAACCCTCCTCCCCTTGGGGACCCACTCTTGGTGACCTGAGTGTGCATTCCATTGGGTCCCAGCCTTATCAGCATACAGAACCTGGCTGGAGCCTGTCATTAGAGCCTTGCCTCTGTGCCCCTCCACCCACCCGTCCTCCAAGTTTCTGCTTTTGTTGCTGCCATGGGATATCAGCAGTTAGAACAATGGAGCATTTGCCCTAAGACTTTGGCCTTTTCATAAAACTGAGCTTCTCTTATTCACCAAGGTGTCAGGTACCTTGTATTCTTTTTAGACCCTTCAGGTCTGCTTAGGGTATGCTGATAGTGTCTGGTCTGGTTTAAGTATTACCTGAAAAACTTTCACTTTCTGACTTATTTTCTGGCCAGTGCCCCAAAGGCTTTCATTTTTGAAAGTCTTGGGTAAAAATGATTATCACTGTTCAGCCATGAGAACCAAATTTCTTGCCAAAGTGATGGTAGACCCTAACATTTTTAGACTTGGCAACTTGTCCACAGTAGTGTCTCCCGTATGAAATGTTTTTTCTTTATCTCTAATATCTCATGGTGCAATCTATACTTCTGCTTTGTGAAAAAACTACCTCAGAGGACAGATGGGAAAGGGGTGAGAAGAAGGCCCTTTTCTTTGCAGAGTTAATGATATTGTCCCTGAAACAGTGAGGATGGTTTGAGGTAACAACTCACAGTTTCTGCAAAAGAAAATATGTGAATGAACAACTTGAATTTTAAGTGGAATTTTACTGGCTTTTTTTTTAAAGTTCTTAATAGGCTTTCCGTAATGATTTTGTGTTTCCTTTCTTATTAGACTTAAATGGCAAAGAAATGATATGCTATTTTTGATTCAGAAAAATATAAAATCTTTTTATTGGAACTCTTGAAATGCACATTAGGAAGTAGATAATGGCCTAAAAGAATGAGAGAGAGAGAAAGAGAGAGAGAGAGAGAGGAGAGACAAAGGTTCTGACTTCCTATTAAGAGGGATATCTGATTAGAGTGTTTTTATAATATTTACTTATTTATTTGTTTTAAGAAAGTAAGCAAAAGCAGAAGAACAATGCAATAATTTCATTAGACCTGTCATAGGGTGAGAAGGGATTTTGATCAGCTTGACTTTAAATCACACTCTCACTTGAGAGGTAAGTATGCTGAGATCCGAAAATGTTTAATAAAATGAACAAAGATAAACAAAGGGATTCTGGCAAAGCAACGCCTAAAACCGGGATCTGACTTTCAATTCGGGCGTACCTTTCTTTAAATGAAAGTCTGGGGATTTAGCTCAGTGGTGCTGCCACCTGCCTCACAAGTGCAAAGTCCTGAGTTCAATCCCTGGTACCAAAAAAAAAAAAAAAAAAAAAAAAAAAAAAAAAAAAAGCTTTCTTTTAAATGAAGACAGTCTCACTTTAATAATTTGTACCAATGTGCTTAAATCTATTAGGGCATTTGCTTTTGTCATTACTGGGACTTCGTGTGTCTAAGCTAACTATAGAATGTGCATTTGAACAGACGGCAGATATTTCTTTCTAAGCTGTATTTTATCTGAATAGTGCAAGGAACCTTTATTACTTCAATGAAGTTTTTCCTCTTAGAGGATTCAAAGAAACACTCTATTCCAATCTTGTATCTGAAAACATATTTTTAAGTGGGTCTGTTCCTTTAATAAGTATTTGTTCAAACATGTCATATTCTAGCATTCTAGAAGATACAAAGTAGTTTATCAGATTAACAGAAGTCTGTTTCTTATTCCCACTTTTAGTCATGTTTGAGTTGGTCCTTGTAGTTGTTAGTTTGGACAAACATTGATTAATTCAAAATATCAATGTTTTTGTTTGGGTTCTTTTTTGTTTAATGGGAGTGGAAAAGTTGAATATGAATTTACCTTTTGCAGCTATGATAATTATATTTGCTTTTTTTATTCATGCAAAACTTATTTTTCTTTTTGTTTCATTTCTGTTTTCGCATGTTACAAACATCTGTACTGTGGCTGGTGACGAGAGTAGCAGTGGCTGGCAATTTTCCTCTACGTTCTGAGAAAAAGAATTAGCTGGAATAAGACCTTGTTTTCCATATGGTGGACTTGAAATGCAGCATTGAAAAGGTATCTTCTCTTTTTCTTTTCTGAAACCAAAGATGAAACCAATGAATAAATAGCAATATTGATTCCAAATCACCTGTTGACTCTCATCAGAAAGGTCCTGGGCAATGCATTCCTCATTTCATCAGTTGCAAAACCTAAATAGTTATTCTCTGTGCATTGGTAATATCTATATTCAAGCATGTGCCTTTGGTCGCTCACTTAAGAATAACTAAGATTCTACATAGTTAAGAAATGAACTGAAAGTGTTGCTTTTGATTGAACAAAATGATCGTTTTGTAAATATGTTTGGCTGTGAAGTGCTTATTAACTCCTACAATATTGGAATCGATTGTTGGGAACAATGGAGAGAAAATGGCACTACTGTTTTCCTTTATCTTAATTCTAGTTGGGAAAAATAGTGGTCTGTGTCTTATAAAAAGTGTTTTAATGTAAAGTATTTCAAACACATAAAAATATAAAGAATAATATGAAGTACAAGAATCCAGAACACAAGTAAAACAAACCTTGATCATTTGAAATATTTGTTTCTGAGTCTGTTTCTGTTATTATTCTATTATAAATTATGTACAATAGAAAAATTAAATGTACCGTTTGATGAGCTGAGCTCTACAATCATGTAAAACATACATAGATCTGGGAAGGGTCTTTTCTTCACGCCTTCTTGTACTTGATATTCTCCAAAGCTTTGACAAAGTTTAATAAAAATCATTAGTTACTTTAATGTAAGTCATATATTATAGCTTAAATTAATTCTCCTGAATATATCACTAAAATTTATTTGTTGATTTTCTCATTGTTAGACATAATTTCCAATAACAAACAAGTTAATATTTATGTTCATGTGCATACAGGGAGGTGGAATTGCTAAATATTAAGAAACATGAATTTTAAATTTTATTAGGCATTGTAAAGTTTCTCTTCAGAGGACCAATTTATATTCTTTATAATCTGAGAGTTTCTCCACATCTTTCTTCATTTTTTGAAATGATCAGACTTTTAAAACTGTTGTCAGTTTAATAAGGATTAAATAATGTGTTGGTTAATTTTTTTTTTCATTTATAAGCCATTGATTTCCCTCTTGTGTGGTACCTGTTTGTATCTTTAGCCCATTATCTGTTGAGTTATTTGTGTTGCTATTTTTATTTTGTGGGGTTTTGTTTTGTTTTGGAGTTAGTTGCTTTTGTTTTTATTATAATATTCTGGATTCTCATACCTTTGGGCCATAGGGAATACAAATTGTAGTTGTAGTTTCTCTTTTGACTGTGTCTTTGGTAACATTTATTTTAACAACAACAAAAAAATTCTAAATTTAATACAGTTAAAATTATTGATATTTTCCTTAATAATTTGTGCTTTAATGTTATTTAAAATTTTTTTCCATATGCCTTATATTTTCTCCTGTTTTAAAGATTTTCCCTCTGTAGTTAGGTTGTTAATCTTCTTTGAATTTATTTTTGCTTACTGTATCTTTCATGAGCCCATTTTATTTTTCTTAATATGGATAATCCATTTATCCTGAAGTATTTAACAAATTAGCCATCCTTTCCTGACTAATTCGCAATATCATTTGCCTACATCGAATTTGTTTTTAATGTTTTTATTTCATCCAGTATACTGTTCTTCTATCCTTGAACTAATATCATAGTTCCTTACTTACCATAGCATAATAATATTCTTGTTATTTGGTAAAATAAATCTTTTTGCTCCTTTTTTAAATTGTCTTGGCTCCTCTTGGCATTTTACTGTTTAATATGAAATTTAGGGATTGCTAGTTTAGTTTATCAAAAGTTCTGCTGAATTTTATTTGAAATTACATTAACATTGGTGAATAATCTGGAGAAGAGGTGACACTTTTACATGTCTTCTGCCCATTAGCTCTATACCTATACTTCTTCAAGTCTTTCTTTATATTCTTTGATAATGTTTTATAATTTACATCATGAAAGTCTTGTGCCTATATTTTTAATTTCTTCATTAACTTAGCTTTTTGTGCTTTATGTATACAATCAGTCTTTCATTTCAGTTTATTGGTTATTATTGGTGTATATTCAGCAACCTTGCTGAATACTCTTATTACTTCTAACCTTATAATTCTCTTCTCTACATGGACATCTATCTCATCAGTATTTTCTCTTAAACTTCCATTTTTAAATGTTCTGTCTCTTCTTCCTGTCTTATTTTATTATTAACCTTCTATATAGTGTTAATATATATAGTGTTCTATATAGGGTTATAGAAGTCATGATATCAGAAATATCTATTTTTCTTATTTTATAGAAATATGTTGTTTGCTTGTTGGGGGAGGGCGTTCTAAAATTCATGCCTCCACCTCCCAAATGCTGGGATTATGCTGTGTACCATCACACCCAGCTTGTTTGGGATTTTGACAGTCAAAATTATTATATTAAAGAAGTTCTCATCATTCATTTATAGCTTGCTAGGTATTTTTAATCAGTAATACTAGTTAAATGTTTATCTATTGCATTTTCTGCATCAATAATGTCAATAAAATTTCCCATTAATATGTTCATGTGTTATATTATACTAATATATTTCCTTATATTAAGCATTTTTTACATTCCTGGAAAGAATTTTACTTCATCTTCATGTGTTTTTTTAATCCACTGTTACGTAAAATTTCCTAACATCTTATGTAATATGTTTGCATAGGGAAATTAGTCTTTAATTTTTATTTTTTTAAACTTACTGCAGAGTTTTGGTATCATGGTGATATTACACTCAGAAAATAAATTTAATAACATTCTAACTTTTTTCTAATTTCAAAAATTTTTTTTTGTTGTTTTTGTTGTTTTTTGGGGGGTACCGGGGATCGAACTCGGGACCTTGAGCTTGCGAGGCAGGCCACTGAACCGCTGAGCTAAACCCCCAGCCCTAATTTTGAAAATTTTTATGCCACCAGGGCAGTGGTGGTAAACCTAAGGCATATGTTCTTTTTTAATACAAAAGGTGAGGTCAGTAAATTTAGCTCAGTGGTGCCGCCGCCTGCCTTGCAAGCTCAAGGTCTCAAGTTGGATCCCTGTACCAAAAAAATACCAAACAAACAAACAAAAAAAGCTGTTAATTTATGAGTTTGGGTGTTTTGGTGGGGGTTGGGGATTGTCTTTTTTTTTTCTGCACTGAAACTTCAGTGTTAAAGTTTAATTTCAGTGTTGGCACTTTGTGATAAATAAGTGGGTTTTGGACTGCAATTTGGGTACTTCTCTGAAAGGCTCACCATCAGTGCTACAGAGATTACCCAGGGATATATTCATGTAATTTTCAATTTTAAAATCTTTATTACCTCCCTATTTCCCCAATATTATTTATCTGAACCTTTTCTTCAGTAGTTATCAGACATTTTTCTGTTCCATTTACATTTTTTCAAAATCTGGCTTTTGATTTTGCTTATTTACATTATTTTGTTCTTTGTATTCTGTTACTACTCTGCATTTTCTATTTCATACAAGTTTGATGCCATTTTTTTTTTACTGGATGCTTGAATTATGACGTATTTCAAAAGCTTGTATTATTTTTAAAAATTAATTTCAATCTCTAAATATTCCTCTAGGTTTCTGATGAGCTGCATACCATATTTTTATATTTAGTTTTGTTAAATTTTAAATATTTTGTAATAACATTTTGATTTATTTTTAAGGCTAGAATTATCAAAGTATAGTTTTTACTTTCTAAGTGCATTTACTGTGTTTTGATTATGATTCTGAATTTAAATATATTGTAATATTTGGTTTTAATTGAAAATAATTCTTTTGAAATTCCTTTTTGTGACTATTCAGCACTTAGATTTTACTGCTGGGCCTGAAATCTAGACAGATTATCTGTTTCTTCAGCACACATTCTAAAGTGCTTATAAGTACATTTCATTACATATTTTTCTAACAAGAAAATAAAATCAACTTTTTAATATTTCTGGTACTCCCCTTAATATAAGGAAGGTACCTAGTATGTTTTATCTATCTATTAAGTATCAGTCTTGTTAGTGTAACTGTTTGAACTTTACTTGTATCTGTTTTTCATTATACAAAAATGTGCTTATCATTGATTTCTAAACCACTGTTTAATTATATGTACTTACAAATTTTCAGTATTACTGTGCCCACAGTTGTTGAGCCCCAGGGTCTCCTTTCTGGGTTCACTTTTCTTATTGTTAAATCACACTTTATAGGCAATTGTCTACCACAAGCCCTGGGTAGTACACCCTTTTTGTATGTCTGAAACTATTTTTATTTGTCTTTTATGATAAGTTACAATTTACCTGAATGTTTTTGCTCAGCCTGTTAAGGATGTTACTCAGTTATATCTATGACTATTATTCTGTCAACTATTCTTAAGAGAAATCTGCTATCAGTTTTATCTTTTTATGGGTAATCTGCTTTTTTCTTTCTGGCAGCTTTAAAGTTTTTTACCATCTGATAGTTTCTCTTAAATATGATTAATTGTGGATTTATTTGTAATTATCAATCATGAACTCAGTGTATATTATTTAATCTCAAGACTCAAATTCTAGAAAATTCTGATATTATCTTTTCCCTGATCATTTTCCATTCCCTACATATTTTTCTTCTGGAATTTTTTTGTTTTGTTGATTTTTTTTTTTTGAGATAGGGTCTCGCTGTGTAGTCCAGGCTGGCATTGAACTCCTGGTTCCTCTGGAATTCCCATAAGATATATGTGTATGTTTCTTAAGCAGTTTAACATATCTCAACTGCTATTTCATTTTCTAAAAATTTATTTTCTTTTCTGGCTCTCTCATCTTTTTTGTTGTTGTTTTTGTTTTTTGTTTTTTTTTTTTCCCTCCCCGAGACAGTCTTGTTATGTAGCTCAGTTGGCCTTGACCTCACTATATAGCCCGGTCTGGCTTCACGTTCACAGTGATTAAAGCATTCACTCACCCACCTGGCTAACAATTCTATTTCACTGTCTTGAATTTTTTTCTGAATATTTTCCTTAAAATTACATTCTAGCTCAGTGTTCTAGAAATT